ATTTACAGGGATCTTTTTTTTTTAAAGATTTTATTTATTTATTTGACAGAGAGAGATCACAAGTAGACAGAGAGGCAGGCAGAGAGAGAGAGAGAGAGAGAAGCAGGCTCCCTGCTGAGCAGAGAGCCCGATGCGGGACTCGATCCCAGGACCCTGAGATCATGACCTGAGCCGAAGGCAGTGGCTCAATCCCCTGAGCCACCCAGGCTGCCCCCATTTACAGGGATCTTGATTGTCATTCTCTCCCCCATTGTCTTGAACTGGTCCAGGAGAGCCAATGATACAGTTCCAGTCACTACTGATACTTACGGACGGTAAATATCAACACTGCTAAGTACGCTGCGAGTGTTTATCTCAGTTATTCCTCACAACAGCCCCTTCAAGGGAGGGAGGTTGAGTTCAGGCTGTGTCATATGCTTACACAGGACTTGAAGCACGACTCTGGTGATCTCATTCTGGCCTCTCATTCAGGTGCGCGGTACTGTGATGCGAGCTGTGATTACCATTTACAGAAAAGGAAACTGAGGCATGAACAAATGAAGTAACTTGCCTATGGACACACAACTAGGAGGAAGAGCTTAAATTTGAACCTAGGCGACCCAAGATTGGCTCTGGTAATCTGTACAGTAAAGCAGCCCTCTCCTTTCAGGTCATATAAATTTAAAATATGTGCCCTGGACATGAAGTAGGTAAAGGGGGTAAGGGGAATAATTTTTAAAGTACAGAATGAGGGGCGCCTGGGTGGCTCAGTGGGTTGGGCCTCTGCTTTCGGTTCAGGTCATGGTCTCTTGGTCCCAGGGTCCTGGGATCGAGTCCCACATTGGGCTCTCTGGCCTGCTTCCCCCTCTCTGTCTGCCTGCCTCTCTGCCTACTTGTGATCTATCTCTCTGTGTCAAATAAATAAATAAAATCTTTTTTTTTTTTTTTAAAGATTTTATTTATTTATTTGACAGGCAGAGATCACAAGTAGGCAGAGAAGCAGGCAGAGAAAGAGAGGGGGAAGCAGGCTTCCTGCTGAGCAAAGAGCCTGATGCGGGGCTCAATCCCAGAACCCTGGGATCATGACCTGAGCTGAAGGCAGGGGCTTTTACCCACTAAGCCAGCCACGTGCCCCTAAATAAAATCTTAAAAAAAACAACAACAATGATTTCGAGGTGGAAAATTTTAATTGTTGTGGCCTCGCTCTGTCTCAGTTTTGAGGTATTTTTCAGAGTTGACCATCTTGACTATACTGAGTGTGAATGGTAAACAGTACATTTTTCCTATCACCTGACCACTAAATGCTTGTCATCTTCTTTATCCGGCGTTCAAGAAGATAAACAGTAACCTGTTCCACTGCTGGAGGAAGACTGGCTATTTTGGACTTACTTTTTTTTTTGTTTGTTTATATATATAAACAAAAATTTTATATATATTTTATATATATTTTATAATATTTTGTATATTTTATTTTTTATATAATTTATTTTATATAATTTATATATATATTATAAAATATATAAATATTTTATAATATTTTATATATAAACAAATATTTTATATATATTTTATATATTTTATATATATATATATTTTATATATATAAAAAATTTATTTTTATTTTTTGACAGATTTTATTATTTGACAGAGAGGGAGAAAGCACAAGCGGGGGGGTGTGGTGTAGAGATAGAGAGAGAATAAGCCTCCCCACTGACCAGGGAGCCCAACATGGGGCTCGATACCAGGACGCTGGGATCTTGACCTGAGCTGAAGGCAGACTCTTAACCAACTGAGCCACCCAGGCACCGCTGTGTGGGACTTACTAAAAGACAGGTCAGTCTCTGATAAGGTACCTTCCTTTGGCATTTTGTACGGTAATTTGAAACTATGCCCAATTTTTATCCACCATGCTGACTTTATTTATTTATTTTTTTCTCAAAGATTGATTTATTGAGAGGGAGAGAGAACAAGTATATGTGAGTGGGAGGCGGGGCAGAGAGAGAGAGAGAGAAGTAGACTGCCCGCTGAGCTCAGGGCCAGAGCTCATGACCCATGAGATCATGACCTGAGTGAAACCAAGAGTCAGACACCCAACTGACTGAGCCATCCTGGTGCCCCACCAGGCTGACTTTAGAAACTGAGTGGGTTAGATCTGACGTTGTAGCACTGAGTCTTCATTAGAAGCATATTAGGGACGTGGCAGCAGCAGTAGCAGCATAGTTAAGGAAAGGAAATTTGAGTTAAGGATTTTATAAGCAACGAAACTAACTTACAAGTATAAGGATACAAACTTAACAATATGTAAGAACCCAAGAAACACTTTCCCCATGGTCCCTTTCTGAGGAATCTGTTAGAAAACAGGACTTTAGACAGCTAAAATATGAACTTTTGGCATAGGGATAGGGGTGAGCATCAGATATGTGGCTACCTGTAGAACTAAGTCTGTATGGGTGCGTGGGTGGCTCAGGCAGTTAAGTGTCTGACTTTGGCTCAGGTCATGATCCCCGGGGTCCTGGTTTTAAATCCCACATTGGGCTCCTTGCTTAGCAGGGAGTTTCTTCTCCTCCTGCCTCACCCTTCCACCCGTGCTTAGGTGCGCTCTCTCTCTCTCTCTCTCTCTCTAATGAACAAACAAAATCTTAAAAAAAAAAAAAAAAAGACCTAGGTCTATTTGAGGAGAAGGAGGGAAGAATACACTATATAACCACTGTAAGATCTGACAGTATAGAGTACAGCCATTTGAAAAATGGGGGAAGAACAGGAAGAGCATATGCAAAAAAGTTTTAATGTTTTTAGTAATCATGTTGTGGCAGAACTCGCATTGTTACTCTGAGACTGTTATATGTGTACTGTGGAATAAAGTAGATGAGTAGTTAGGAGATATTCTAATTGTAGTATCTTCTCTGTCGTTGAGAACCAGATTCTTGGTATAGAAGACAAGAGTGATAGAGAAGAGGCTGTCATCTTGAATTTACACTGGAAATATCAGTAGTCAAGAACTCCACATGGTCTGAGATTTTACCCCACTTGCAAGCTAACAAGTTAGCATGCCACACTTTCATGGGTCAGAGGTGGAGGATGGTTTATTACTCACAGAAACAGAAACCAGAATATCAACATTTTTGTGCTGGTTCCATGAGCCTCAGGTCCTACAAGGTGACTCGAAGGCCAGATGATACCTGCCTGTGCAGTAGGTTTCATTATACAAGAGGAATTTTGAGCTAAGTGATCTAAAATTTTTTTTTCTTCAAGATTTATTTTAAAGAGAGAGCACATGAGCAGGGGAAGAGGCAAAAAAAAAAAAGAAAAAAAAAAAAGAAAAAGAAAAAATTAAGTATTATTTCTCTCTGAAAGGAACCAAGACTTCTTGGGGAGATCACTGATTTCAGGTCTGGAGCACGAATAGTTCAGGATAATCCTGGAATATTTTGTTATACCGTAGTAAGAGGTGTGTCAAAAAGAACTCAGAAATTAACTTGAAGAGGCTCCTGCTGGCCAAAGATGGATACGTTGAACTTTAATCATAATAATTGCAATTGGTTTAAACATGCTAGATGTATTCAGATCCTTGAATTCATAATGATATTTTAAAAATAGTCATCTGCAGATGATGAATCCTAACTCATATTGCAAAACACAGATACTGGTAAAATGGGTAAAGGAACAGAATCAAGCATTTATCCTGCCTTTCCTGTATAACTCTAGCACAGGGTAATCAACTAGTAGACAAGGGGAAATGTCCTTTATCAATGTATTTTAGCTACTAATACCTGACAAAGAAATTATAGAATTAGACTATCGCTATTTTATAACCCATGATACATTAAACATCAAAGGCTCTCAAGACCATAAAAAGAAAGAAAACAGTCATTATGTGCCTCCTGTAGTCCTGCCAAGGAGCTCAAGCTGGTGTCTCATCCGGTCTCTGGATCCATCTGCCAAATTGTAGCCAGAACAGAGGGCGGAAGATAGGTGAATTAATTGTACCAAGAGTATGCAGTTGGCAAATTCATTCTGTGGGAAATTTTACAGGTGAACGTCCAGGTTCCTCAGGAGACAAGTTGGAAAGAACAAAAGAAGTAGGTGATGAGCGTATATAGATGAAGAGCTTTAAAAGGCATCAGACTTTAGGGGGCACCTGGTTGACTCTTGATATTGAGGTCATGAGTTCGAGCCCCACATTGGATGTAGAGATTACTACACAAAAATAAATAAATACACTTAAAGAGGACATAAAACTTTTTTAAATGGACAAGACTAGACTGTAGCACATTTAGGTAATAAAATTGTAACAGGAATAAGTCAGGATCATAGTTACTTGAGAAAGGAGGGGATTGTAACTGGGAAGGGGCATATGAGAGAGCTTTTGGGTGACTGACAAAGTTCTTTTTCTTGATCTTGTGGTCACTAAACCATTTGATTCATGTGATTTTTTTTATGTCTGTATGTTATTTTATAATAAAAGAGTTTTTTTAAAAAATATGTCCAATAAGAAGAAACTAGCTTAGGCATTAAGATTTGGTGGGGGGAGGAGCTTATTGTCACACCACAGATGAGCAAGAGCTAAATTTCAATAGACTCTTGAGAACTTGGGAGGACCTATAGAGTTTTCCATCATTATTAAATTGTTACATTTTTTAGCGTTCTTATATATAGATACCATATCAGCCTAAGGTTGCAGAGGGCAGTTCAATGTAGAAAATGTCCCAGTATGTTTTTTCTAGTAATACTTTTGTTAAAAAAAACTTGCCTGATTATAGAAAATTTAGAAACAAAGTATAAAAAGTAAAACAAAAAAATATATTGTTGTTCTGTTCCCCAGAGGTAAGCATAAATAATGTTTTGGTATATTTCCTTTTATATATGACTACATTGACAATTGAGAAAATACCGTCTTGTACCTATTTTATGTTCTCGTCTTTGGCTCTGTACTTGCATTCAGGCCTGAGATTAAAGGTATTTAAGATGCAGATCCCTTTCAAAAGAGAACACATTGGCATTTTTGGATTTTATGTTCCTAGGTGGGCTGCATCACGCAGCTGCCCGAATTTCTGGTGACAGTGTCTACAAGCATCTGAAGTATGAAGGTGGGATTCACCGAGTTCAGCGAATCCCTGAGGTGGGCCTGTCATCAAGGATGCAGCGTATTCACACGGGAACCATGTCTGTTATCGTCCTCCCTCAGCCAGATGAGGTAACTTCACGCACACGTTGAAAACTTACTCTCATGTAGTGGGTATTGTGCTGAGGAATCTTAGCTTCTAGCAAACTGATTTTCGGGGTTTCACATTGAACTTTGCAGTCTCTACTGGGAAAACCTTAACTCCTCCCCAGGTAAAGTTGCCCTTCTTATGCCTGACCAAGATATTTTGTTTTCTTTAATTAGAAGCCAGTTCTCTTCATAAAATAGAATTCACAAACCTTTTCAAATCTTCTTGCTTAAGTTTTATCTTAAGAAAAATATGATTTCCACAGATAATATGTTGAGATCAGTGATAGAATATCTGTATGGGGTCAGTGTCTTATTGAAGCCGGCCATATTGCCTCTATCTTTTTTCCTAACTTTTTAAAATTTAATTTAAACATACAGAAAATTGGAAGAATACCACTCTAAAAACTTATATAACCTTCACCTGGAGTCAACACCTGTTTATATTTTGCCACATTTGCTAGATTCCTATACATGTGTGTATGTATACTTTTTTAAAATAACTATTAAGAATATAGCAGTCACTGTGAGACTTTATCCCTCAAATCTTCAACTTAACATCTCCTAAGAATAGGACATTCTTCTACCTAAATGATGCCATTGTCTGTCCATCGACTGATGAACGGATGAAGTGGTGGTGCATATACACAATGGAATATTACTCAGCCATCAAAAAACGAAATCTTGCCATTTGCAGCAACGTGAATGGAGCTAGAGGGAATTATGCTAAGCGAAATATGTCAGAGAAAAATACCATGTGATTTCACTTATATGTGGAATTTAAGAAACAAAACATAAACATAGGAAGAAAGAGAGAGAGGGCAAACCGTAAAAGAGGCTATTAACTATAGAGAACTAAACTGAGGGTTGTTGGAGGGGAAGTAGGTGGGGCGTGGGCTAAGTGGGTGATGAGCACTAGGGAGGGTACTTGTGTGATGAGCACTGGGTATCATATGTAAGTGATGAGTCCCAAAATTCTGAAACTAATATTACACTATATCTTAACTGGAACTTAAAAATTTAAGAAATAAATAAATAATTAAATTGGGTATAATAGCTCAATTTTTCTTTTTTGGGGTGGGGGAAAGGCAGAGGGAGAGGGAGAGAGAATCTTAAGCCGACTCTATGCCCAGCGAAGAACCCAACACGAGGCTCGATCTCACGATGCTGAGATCATGACCTGAGCCAAAATGAGGAGTTAGACACTTAACCAGCTGAGCTACCCAGGCGCCCCAACCCCATAATTCTTCTGTAGGGATTAAATGAGACACTAAGGGTTATGCACTTGTCCCCAGGAACCAATAGATTGGAGACCTTTGTATAATATCAATAATAAAATTGGAAAAGTTATTAGAAAAAATACCATTAGCTATGAAACTCAAACACAAGTCTGTAATATTTCTATGAAAAACTCCTGTGCATGTCTTCTCACAGAATACTTCTCCACTCTAAATGTGTCAAGTTTTTTCTCTCACCAGGCAATTTCTTCAATTCTGTGTGGACACCAAGTTAGGTATCCTACAAGCCAATTCAGTTCTGACAGCGTCTACTGGGGAATAGCTAAGAGCTCAGCCTCACAGCACTTTCTTCCCTCCTACTTCAGAGGCCAATCACAAGTCCAGCTTGTCACCTGTGCTTCCCACCAAGTCACTATGAATTGAGAGGTTTCCACAACCCCTTCCTTGGGTTCAGTAATTTACTAGAGTGGCTTATAGAACTCAGACTCCCCACTGAACATGGAGCCCTGTGCAGGGCTCACTCCCATGACCCTGAGAGCATGACCTGAGCCAAAATCAAGAGTCGGACACTCAACTGACAGAGCCATCCAATGCCCTCAACCTTTTTTTTTTTTTTTTAATGCCATTATTTTTTTGAAGAGTCTGGAGCCTTCATCTTGTAGGGTGTCCCACATTCTGGATTTATTTGTTTCCTCTTGGTACTCTTCAACTTGTCCTTTTATCCCATTGCATTCAGGTCACAGGTTTTGAGTGGGAATACTTTACAGGTGTAGGTGTATATTCATGTTGCGTCTTATCAGAAGGCACATAATCTGAAATTGTCTGATTTTTAGTGAAGATGACCACAAAACCAGCTCCATTGTAAAAGTGTATTTTTTTCTCTTTGTAGTTACTGAGTAATGCCTGCGGTACATAATAGCCTATTTCCAACAACTTTTCTTCCACAATCGTAACATCCATTAGTGATCTTTTTTGCCTAAATCAATTATTTCATTTGCGGTGGAAGATGGTGATTTTGTAACTCTGTCATTTCTTCTATATTTATTACCTGGCATTCTTTTCTGTCAAGAACTTTCCTCCCTACTACCTTCTCTCCTCCTTCCTTCTTGCTTGCTTTCTCTTATTTTACCTCATCATAAACTCAATATTATTTCATCTGTTGACTTCATTATAGACTTACATATTCGTTTTTTAAATTGTGTGAGTTATAATTACTATGGTTTTTGATGTTCAAACTTGTCCCTGATTTGGCCATTAGTAGCCTTTTTAGGGGATTCCCTTTTGCAATGACCCCATCAATTTTTAAGCATACCCTTGCTTTCTGGTATAATTAGATATCCTAAGCCCACCTTCTGCCTTTCTGCCCTCAGACTTGGGAGTCAGATCTCATTTTTTGGGGGGAGAAATGTACCCAGAAACCAAGGTGTAGGTACTAGGTATGCTCATCATTACTAAAGTCTGCTTGTGTTTAGATTTCGCAGCGGACAGAGCTAGGAGATACATAGGAGTTTAACACGGGTTCAAGTTATTATTACCAACTCAAAGTTAACATTACAGGGAGTTTTTCCCCCTCACCATCTTATATTTATATCTCTTCCCACTTAGAGTAAAAAGTTTTATTTCTTAATCACTTAATGTGTTTACTTTTTTCCTTATTATATAGCATATATAAAAACTTAAAAAATTACTTCGTAAACTACTGAGCAATGTTTAAGATTCCTGTCCTTAGAATATAGTCCACCAAGAAAGCATAGTCAGAACGTGATGTTCAAAGACCATCAGAAATAATGTTTTTCTGTTTGGTTATGATATCATTATGGTAAATATTTTGAATATTGGGATTTGATTTTTCCTTCCTCTTTTATCTAATTTCATTTTTGGTGTATGGAAGCATTTATGTCTCTCAGAAATCAAAACTATTAAGTTGTCTTTCTTTTTCTTTTTTTTTTTTTTTTTTTTAAGTCAAAGATGTTTTAATGTACAAAATTAATATATTCATCTTTATACCAATACAATCATAAAATGTAATTTAAAAAGAAATTGTTCTGTAGGAACCACAAAAGCCATAATGTTGCCTTGGTTGTATCAGTAAGAATGCTTTCTGCCACAAACATCAGAAAAGCCCATTCATTTGACTATTTTTTTTTTTTTATTTTATTTTTTTAAACATATAATATCTTTTTATCCCCAGGGGTACAGGTCTGTGAATCGCCAGGTTTACACACTTCACAGCACTCACCATAGCACATACCCTCCCCAATGTCCATAATCCCAACCCCCTCTCCCAACCCCCCTCCCCCCATCAACCCTCAGTTTGTTTTGTGAGATTAAGAGTCACTTATGGTTTGTCTCCCTCCCAATCCCATCTTGTTTCATTTATTCTTCTCCTACCCCCTTAACCCCCCATGTTGCATCTCCTCTCCCTCATATCAGGGAGATCATATGATAGTTGTCTTTCTCCGATTGACTTATTTCGCTAAGCATGATACCCTCTAGTTCCATCCACGTCGTCGCAAATGGCAAGATTTCATTTCTTTTGATGGCTGCATAGTATTCCATTGTGTATATATACCACATCTTCTTTATCCATTCGTCTGTTGATGGACATCTAGGTTCTTTCCATAGTTTGGCTATTGTAGACATTGCTGCTATAAACATTCGGGTGCACGTGCCCCTTCGGATCACTACGTTTGTATCTTTAGGGTAAATACCCAGCAGTGCAATTGCTGGGTCATAGGGTAGTTCTATTTTCAACATTTTGAGGAACCTCCATGCTGTTTTCCAGAGTGGTTGCACCAGCTTGCATTCCCACCAACAGTGTAGGAGGGTTCCCCTTTCTCCGCATCCTCGCCAGCATCTGTCATTTCCTGACTTGTTAATTTTAGCCATTCTGACTGGTGTGAGGTGGTATCTCATTGTGGTTTTGATTTGTATTTCCCTGATGCCGAGTGATGTGGAGCACTTTTTCATGTGTCTGTTGGCCATCTGGATGTCTTCTTTGCAGAAATGTCTGTTCATGTCCTCTGCCCATTTCTTGATTGGATTATTTGTTCTTTGGGTGTTGAGTTTGCTAAGTTCTTTATAGATTTTGGACACTAGCCCTTTATCCAATATGTCATTTGCAAATATCTTCTCCCATTCTGTCAGTTGTCTTTTGGTTTTGTTAACTGTTTCCTTTGCTGTGCAAAAGCTTTTGATCTTGATGAAATCCCAATAGTTCATTTTTGCCCTTGCTTCCCTTGCCTTTGGCGATGTTCCTAGGAAGATGTTGCTGCGGCTGAGGTCGAAGAGGTTGCTGCCTGTGTTCTCCTCAAGGATTTTGATGGATTCCTTTCTCACATTGAGATCCTTCATCCATTTTGAGTCTATTTTCGTGTGTGGTGTAAGGAAATGATCCAATTTCATTTTTCTGCATGTGGCTGTCCAATTTTCCCAACACCATTTGTTGAAGAGGCTGTCTTTTTTCCATTGGATATTCTTTCCTGCTTTGTCGAAGATTAGTTGACCATAGACTTGAGGGTCTATTTCTGGGCTCTCTATTCTGTTCCATTGATCTATGTGTCTGTTTTTGTGCCAGTACCATGCTGTCTTGATGATGACAGCTTTGTAATAGAGCTTGAAGTCCGGAATTGTGATGCCACCAACTTTGGCTTTCTTTTTCAATATTGCTTTGGCTATTCGAGGTCTTTTCTGGTTCCATATAAATTTTAGGATTATTTGTTCCATTTCTTTGAAAAAAATGGATGG